TAGGGTCTAATAATCTATACAATAAAATTTTTAAAGAAGTTATAATATAAGGGAGAAAAATAAAATTTGGGGCCTTTCTATTAGGCAGAGTTTAATATATAATAAGAAAGAAATAACATTTTTATCAAGGTTATAATATAAACAAATAAAAAATTTGAAAGTTATAATATAAGGAAACACAAATTTTGGGTCTTTATATTGGCCGGAGTGATAAAAGGAAGGAAATAAAAATTTTAAGAAGGATATAATATGAATAAATAAATAAATAAAAATTATAGGCAACCGCCTTTAAAACATCATCAACCGTTGTGTATATATTTTTGTGTAAATTTGATGTGTTATAATTGATTTACACAAAATTTTGGATTATTTATTTTTAGTTCCAACGATTGTTTTATACGTTTTATGTAAAAATATATTCCCTAATAACAATCAACAATTTTATACATTAATGACGTGGTAGTATATTTTAACAGACTTACTGTTGAACATAAAAAAAATTACATATCATACATGGACGTGTATATTTTACATAAAAAAAATATTTTAACAGAGATGCTTTAGGTCGCCTAAGGGTCCAGCCGACTCTGATTCCCACTTATCAGCCTAGACATTACTCCCTTGGTCTCAATTAAATATTTACTTGTACTATTTTTTTTTTTTTTTTGGTAATATTATTAATTTAACCTTATTTTATTGAACTTATAAATAATAAATCATTAAGTGAACCCATTATGGATATATTTGGTAATTCATTCACTATCAATATAATAAAAAAATATTAAAACTCATTCTCTTAAAAAATTATATTTCCAAAAAAACACATTTAATTTGAAACGAAAAGAATAATATTTTAAAATTACGTGAATAACTAATAAACAAACATCACTGTTTTATTTATTTATTATTTTTTATTTTTTATAAAAAATTGAAGGAAAATAACAACAATGTTTGATTACCTTTCTTTTGGAGTGGAACCATCCCGACTCCACTTATTTACCACCAAAAAAAAAAATCATATGGTCTCCACTAATACCTATTGATACGAACATCATATTTTATTACCTTTATTAGTTTGACTTATTTTATGGTAAAGTAGTCTTTGCGGAATTTTCTTTGAATTATTGGGCTTCCAAATGCGTATGGGATGTGAAGGATGGGAATTGGGAAAAACACACCATAAATTTAAAAAATAAATAAATATAGGGATGGACCTTGTTAACCAGGCAAACAAATAAAATGACGGTCTTATATTTTTTTTTAATTTATTTATTATTTTTGGTGGTTAGAACGGTTAGAGTGTTTCTCAATTTCATCATAGTGTTTTATTCGAGATACCGATTTTGAGTCACAAAACCTAACAATCTCCACCTTGTCTCAAATTTGATCTTCATGTGCTCCTTACAGTTCTAGCTCGAACAAAACACTACGATGAAATTGAGAAACATTTTAATCATCTCCACCTTTTATTAAATTTCATCATGCTTCTTCCATCTTTTGTCCTTTAACTTTATTTTTATCCTTTTCTTCCCAGTGGTGCTCAATTGCTTAAGTATAACAACCCACCAATCAATCCACTCCCCTTATTACTAATTTTGGACTTCACTCTTCATTGTCATTTATTGGACTTAGAGTAAACTCCTTCAATTCTCACACCATATTCGTCCTTTCTTAAGAACTAGCACCCACTTCTCGCTTGTCCCCAAAACTTGTTCCTCATGGTTGTGTCTTCACACCTATCTTCATACCTTCATGTTACCCTTAATTCTGATTGAATTCCATAGCACCTCACGATTAACCTCTACTTTGACAAACTCATTCCAGTGTTTTACTCTTATCTTTAAGACCAATCACATGCTTTGATACCAATTGTTAAATATTAAATCTATCTAACCCACTCAACTGTCAGTTGCTGTTGAAAGTTAAATCCCTTTTTTATTATACACACCCAAAACATCATCACATCAATACAAGTATATATGGAGATAACAATTATACATATCTATACAAAACACAATATTTTACACGATTCAACTAACTCTTAGGCTATTTTCATGGAGAGAGAGATTTTAGTATTTTGAATTAAAGAAGCGAATATATAATCAAATGTCAACACCCCATTAACTCTCATCATCTCTTTTGAGACTATATCTATACACATGTTTCTTTTTCCATTTGGAAGTATAGTGAAATGTTTCTTTGTAAGGAGACTAACTTCCACTGTTACAATTCACATTGTATTGGGGTTAATACTTGTGTGCCGAGCGTTGTGGGTATGGGCTATTGCAATTCTCAACTTATTATCTTGCTTGCTAAGCAGTAATCGTTTCACTCCTTTAGTAAAAAAGAGTTATGCAAGTCACAATATTCACCCTTAAATTCCTTATATCTTTCTTTTTTAAATCTACCTCTCTCTACCCATCTATATTTATAGTTTTCAAACCCAATTTTTGTTGAACAAAAATTCCTTAACTTGTCTATGGATTACCATATTAATCTTCAACTTGTAAATAGTAGCCTAATACAACACACTTCCTTCTCAATTCTCCAGTCTCTTTCGTAAGTCTTCTGGCTTCCAAATATTCACGTCTTCGTAATATGCAGACTTGGGCCTTATTCGCACCTTTGGGCTGATCGGACCGTTTGTGCGGATGGCTTGATTTGGTCACTGAATTAGCTTTGGGCCTGAACATGTGTTGGAGCTTTATTTACATGGGTGTCACGTTTTGGTTGATGGTTTTTTTTTTTTTTTTTTTTCCTCCCTCCACAATGATCTTGAAAGAAAAAAACAAAGAAAGTTGTTCATACCTTAGAAGAGAACGCTAGAAAAATATAAGAATAGGTCTTTAATAAATTATCTTGATAATGAAAAGCAAGGCATTTTAAGATAAAATCCTTGAAAAAGCAATGGAATTTAAATTAGTCTACTGAAAGAAAATTGAGGGTTTGAAGAAATTCAAAGATGTAGTTGCTAAGTTGCTAATGTTCCTCTTAAGATTGAAAATAAGCTAGCAAGTATGATTGAGAATATGCAAGTATGATTTTCTCAAAATCTTCTTAGGAATTGCAACAAGACAGTAGTTGTTCACAACGGAACTGTCAAAGGGGGAAAATGATAGAAATATGAAAGTTGTTTGAATCCTACGCGCCACCCACATTGCATTAGCACTTTTTTATTATTTATTATTTATCTTTTTATCTTTTTATCAGAAAAAATATATATATATTTAGTTGGTGGCACAATAGCTAAATATTTTTTTGTTTTAATTTCACTTACATCTCCTTAGGTTTGGCCAAATAATACTCTCAAATATTTTTTCGAAAATAACTATCACTCACGTCATAAACTTTTGCTCCGTTTTTCACTGACACCCAATTAGTTGAACCGTTATGACACAAACTTAATCACCTTCTCAATTTGTCAAACTAACCCTTTAGCTTAAATAATTAAATTAAAAGGTTAAAATACACAGACATATATATATATATATATATCACAGAACTGTTTCTAAATGTCAATCAAAGAAGAATGTTTTAAGGTTCTAATGTTATTAAGATAGAGGAGTAAGCCAGTGGCAGAAGCAGGTCCATCAATTTTGCCCTATTCTTGGAATCTTAAGTATTTATGGAATCACAGCAGACTCATTCAATTCGTCACAAAGAGCCACAGAGCATAGGCACCGCAAACGCATTACACACAGAGACATTTATATATACACACACACACACACACATAGACATCCGCCGTGGCCACCCACACAGACATCCGCCATCGCCGTCACCGCCGCCACACAATCACAATCCCAACCCAACACCCATCGCCAAAGCCCTATATTTTTCTCGGCCTCCTCAAATTGGGTCTCTGCAATCCAGAAGATGATGAAGATGCAAAAATGTTCATTACCCGGCAAAATGCACCATGAAGGGAAAGTTCTAAAGGAGTCAAATTTTCCTGATGATTGAAATCCAGGAGCCAAACATGGTATATCTTTTATGCTGGGGACCGGCTTGAATGTGTATTTGATGAATGAAAGCCCAAATGAAACATAAAACAAATGAGGAAATGGAATATAAAATGGGTTTTGGTCACATTGGTTTATATAACAACAGACAACGAGTATGTAATCTTAAATCTCCGCGCGCGTGTGAGAGAGAGAGAGAGAGAGAGGGAGAGAGGGGGGTTCATTGTTGTTACCAATTCTTTCCCTAACTCAACAACTAGATTTCTTTCCTAGACTACTTCCACAGAAAACGCAGATTTTATTAAACCTTGATTACGTATGTGAGGATGAATGGAGGCCACCAACATCTCCAATTGCTCATCTTTGATAGGCAGAAACACACATCTTTAATTACATATCTGTTGCAATGTCTGGGTTGTTAGGTGGGTGTGGGGGTATAATGGTCATTTAGGTAATATGATATTTTTAAATAAAAAAAATTAAAAAATTAGGAATAAAGTTATCTTTTCCCATATATTTAAAAGAACATTTAACGAAAAGTTAAAAATGAACTCAAGTGATTGTTATTTTCATAAAATATTTGAAAATGATATTTGGCCAAATTTAAGAGGGTGTGAGCGAAATTAATCCTATTTTCTTTTTCTTTTTTTGGTGAGTGAATGGATGGGAGTGGATTGGAATTTGTTGGTTTTGTTGTTCTTCCCTTTCATCCGATTTTAAAAACAAATTAATTAATAAAGTTAAAAAGAAAAATATATATATATATCAACAACTAAAAGTAATGGGCTATAAATTGAAAGACGAAGTCATAAGCAGGCCACTTAGGCAATATAAGTGCACATTGAAATATATTAAGAGAAAAATCAACAAAGAATAAGAGAACCTTAGAAATCTAAGGATAAACTCTGAACAAATCTACAAAGAGAGCTGCTACACATCCAGAATGATTTTCGAGATATGTATCACAAATCTAGGTGGTGTCTGACATGGCCGTTAGTAAAACAAAAATACACCTCAGCCTTTCAAAATCTAAAAATGCTAAGGCGCTTCACAACCGCCATGGTTAAAGCTTTTCCCATCGCCGAGCAGGGCTGCTTCTCCATTCTCCTTCTCCTGTCCTTTGCCAAAAAAAAAAAAAAAAAAAACTATTAAGTTAGGTTTGGAGACTCCTGTCACGAAATAAATTCGTGACATTTACCATGTCTCCTACATGGATCACTTGCATTTCACATTCTGGAGCTCCTTGGTTGAGATATGAACTTCCATGGTGCAATTCAAATCGATAGATTTTTTCTTCTTCATCATTACCTTCATTTGCTCCACCTTTCCATTCAATGTGGAATGGCTCGTCAGCGGCAAAATCCCAGATTTGAGATCACTTCCTAATTCGGCACTGCTTGGTAACTTGGTTGATGAAAGATCTATTGTGACATTGAACTTCTTGGTTGATCGAAATCTAGCCGATGCCTTAGAAATAAAACCATTCCCTACTTGTGCACCCCGGTAGAAGAAGGTAATGCTACTATTGTCGAATTTGTAGGGGCCGAAGTTGGCGTTCTTGACATCAAGTTCAGCATTCATTCTCATTTGGAACGAAGATGCCGTGACATTAAAATTCTCAAATGTGGCAGAATGCAGGCGGAACTTTGGGGTTCTGATTTTCAAGAAGACGAGTACAAAGATCAATATCACACCGGTTTGAAACACAGCAAACGCAAGAACATATGCGAAACATTTCATGCGTTTATTGCGTTGAAGTTCTTTGGATTGCCCCTCTCCCTCTAGAGGCAAGTTATGCTCTGGTTGCTCCTGCTTCTCTGCCATTAAACTTCTTGATGGCAGAGAAGATTATGTGAAAAATGGGTGGTTGGAGTGAGGGTGTTGTGTGTAGCCTATTTATAAGAACATAAGTATATATATAAACAAGGGTTTCCCAACAGAAAATGGCAAAGATTTGACTTCCTCCATCAATGGATGGTTCTCAAACGCGCTTGAAGAATTTGTTTGGCGCCACATATTGTTAAATAAATTACTTGATTTTCAACGGCATTAGACCGTTCTAAAAAGGTTACATTGCCCAAAAGTAGAATCGGATGCAATGACTATTTTTAACTCTTCATTTCAGTTAGTGTTATTTGATGGGTACCAATTGAGTATTTCTTGCTCAATTTTGTAACCAATCAGTGTTAATTAGCAATTAAAATACATACCAATCACACACATTAATCTAATTAAACAATAATGCAAAACCAGTAAAGTAAAGAATAAATCAAATCCTGTATGCGGAAAATCATAGTAAGGAAAAATCACAGGTAGTACCGAGTAAAATAATCCACTATATCAAGCAAAGTGACATCCACTATTGAACTTCGAAAAATTTACGAATGCAATTGTAATAGAATTTTCTTTACAATATCATATTAGTAAATATTGAGAGAATATACTCCATAAAATGAGAAAATGCAACTAAGTAAATAGAAAATAAAAACTGATATAATTGTAAGTCAAATGATTTCTTGCCAAGGATAATTTGATAATTAATTTTGATGATATCAACCAATTAATGTGAGAATTTGAAAATCTACTTGAATGATTAAGAGACTTACATGATTTACCTTGGGGTGTGCTAGATGAGTTTCGAGAGTTGATTGGAATATTTCTTCGAGTTCGGAACCCTTAGACATGCATCGTTGGTTATTTTGGTATTTTGGGCGGGACCCGCAACCGAATTTGTAATGGAGGAGAATTAATTTTTAGGGTTGTTGCATGTCATACATTATTAATTAATGTATGTTTAGGTGGCTACATGTTTAGAGGTGTAATTATATTGTGTTTTGTGTGTGTGTGTATAAAGGAGATTTTTTTTTGGGTGGGCCCCCCACTTGGACTTTGGTCATTATGATGACCAAATGGTCATCTCTTCTCTCTCACGCAGCTCCTTCTCCCCTCATTTTCTAATTTTCTTTTTCTTTTCATTACACAAACAAACTTAGATCTCTCCTTATATCTTAAGAATTTGACTTTGTCACTAAAGGCAAAGTCGACGAGCACGACAAGAGCTTCATTTTGATAAGAGCAAAGTCCAATTTGAAGCATTTTGGAATTTTAAGCTTGAGACTATTTTTGGGGCTTTTCTTCTAAAATTGAGGTAGGGATCTCTAAATCTCATTTTCTTCAGTCTTTTGTGAATTAATAGCTCTAAATTTCACTATGGCATGTATAACTTGTAAATTTGATTCATGGCTTTTAAGGTTCGTTTTGAGAAGCATGATAGTTATGTCTTATGTGATATTATGTGTTGAAATACATGCTTAAATGAAATTATTTGAGATCACATACTTGATGGAAATTGTTACATGACTTACTTGCCAAAAATAGTATATTCGTGAAGTGAACTCTATGAATAATTGTTGTGTTAATTTTTCCCTCTAAGCATGCAAGTGTGTTTATAGTTGGATGCATGAGTTTTATATTAGAATGATGTTGATATGTTGTATGGAATTCGATATGGACATGGCATAAAAAGGCATAAAGCATTCATGCATAAGATTTGGGAAGGAAATGGGAAAATTTGATTTTAAAAGAAAGAAACCTCGTTTAGGCGAAAGGATTTGAAAAGTATTTAGCGAAAACCCGGGCACTTAGGAGTTGCCTAGTGGTCCATGGTGCATTAACGGCTTGGAATGGTGAAACAGAAATGTTTTGGAGATGGAGAGTGACATTAGCATACCATTGCATTCCATTGGCATAAGATGGTTTATTTGTGGTTTAGTTGATGTGGAAGTTGTTGTATTTTCTCCCAAATAGTATGATCTCGTTCTCTTGTATTCTATGCTCTGTATGGATTCACGGATTTATTAAGAGGTGTGCTTTAAACACCTCCTACTGAGACGTTGTGCTCATCCCCTTATTATTATTTTCAGGACATGTAAAAGAAGTGGCGGACGACAATCCACCACAAGCTTAGACGGATTGAAAGGGACTTGGACTTCTTTTGTAATTGCTGCATTTGTTTCCATGTTGTTGTAAATTTGTATCAAGTGGCATGTTGTATCTATATCATGGGTAGAATAGGTTTTGAGACCATCCTCGTGTAATTCGAGGTCTCATTAGGATTTTAGTGTACATTTAAGGCCTTAAGGCCATATTTTAATGTAATTGGACTTGTTTGTCTTTAAACAATGTATTGGACTCATATTCGATTTAATTGAAGCCACATGAGTTTAATTATGTTTTATACACCTTTAAATGCATGATTCGGGACAAGTTTACACCTTAAATGAGGTCACCAAGGGACCAAAGGGGTGTCCCTATGCACAAATACTCAGTTTTAGGCTTTTCTGGGCTAATTATAGGCTTTTAGAACAAGTTTAACTTTCATTGAACTGGTTCAAGGGTGAAATTGGTTCACATTTTGGGCACTCTGCCCATGTTGAACCGGTTCAGGTCTCCTAGAGTCCAATCTTAACTTGTTGATTTGTCAACTTTGAATACCCAACTTCGAGTAGTCATAACTTCTTCGTTTCAAACCCAAATGGAGTCATTCTTGAGTCCATTCTCAAGATTTTTGAGTCAGTTTTACATTGATACCAGCCTCATTTTCAGATTCTATTCGTGTTAAGAGATATGATTATTTTAGCAAGACAGTGTCGAGATTTCCCTTGAACTGAGTAAGGGCACTTTTGGACAATCATGACCAATGACCGTAGAACCTCTTCATATGTCATGGAATAACTAAGATGATTATTATAAACTTCATTTGACTAGCTTAAGGTCAGATTAATTATATTTATTATAAAATAACCACTTTACCCCTAGTGTGTCCTCGAGCTCGGGTAAGGACCTGGTTCGGGTCATTACACTTTGACCAACCATCGGCTTTGATATCAGTTATTGGGGAAAAATCAACTCTCTCTAACCCACTCAACAGTCAGCTGTTGTTGAGAGTTAAATCCCTCATTCATCACGTACAACTGAAGAATCATCACATCACATCAACACAAGCATATATGGAGATAACAATCACACACATCCACGCACAACACAATATTTTGCATGATTCACCCAACTCTAGGGTTACGTTTATGGGAGAAAGAGATTTCAGTATTATGAATTAAGGAAGAGAATATACAACCACATGTCAAAACTTCACTCACTCACTCATTATCTCTTATTAAGCTATATGTATACATTCGGGAATTACATATACTCTCCCATCTTCTCACAACACTCACCCTTAAACCCCTTATATCTTTTATTTCTTATCTCTCTCACTACACCCATCTCTATTTATAGAGTTTTCAAACTCAATTTCTTATTGGACAAGTATTACTCAAGTTGCTTACAAGGAGTTACCAAAATGATCAAAATTCTAAAATAGAAACATAATGGGATACAATTTCCTCTATAAATTTTGATCTTCCAAAACAAAAAAAGAAATTAATTTTCTACACACAAATTTTGAACCACAAACTAAACTGGAATAATAACACTTGGCAGATGGATATGGTAAAAGGTATCTTGTGTGCCAAGAAAGTCATAAATGGCCACGTCTCAGGTGACCTAACATGGCAATCATTTCTCGCCTCTCTCCCTCGGTCTTGTCCTTTCATTCTTTGTGTCAAGTATATTGGTGGACGAACTATTTTATGAGATTGAATTGTTACTAGCATTCCTCATAAAATAATAATAATAAAACCCCCGGGGGCGTAGCAAAGTTGGTAGCAAGGACGGATCTCAAAGTGCTTGGCTACACTCCAGCCTTTGGCCAAGGTTCGAATCCCCGCGCCTTCTTTGCGAGTTCTCGACTGACCGCTGCGTGTGTTATGGGGCCGGTGCGCGTGGCACTCGGTTTGTAGCTTGGAGTGAATCCAAAGGGCCCTGCCCAGGGAGTTCCGAGTTCCAAAAAAAATATATAATAATAATAATAGTAATAATAATAATAATAATAATAATAAATAAATAAATATTAAAATAATAATAATAGTTATAATAATAAATAAAAAGTAAAAAGCCCATCAATATGTTGGTCCTAAATTGTAGTTGTGGACATTTGATTCGATTTGTTTTGACTTTTTATTATGTTTGGTGATAATTTTGATCAATTATTGTGATGCATGTGGAGATAGATGTGAAAGAGTTCATTTGAATTGTAAGCCACAATCGTTCCTTGGGTTTGAAAAATTGTCATCCTTAAAGCAATTGAATTGAGAAGGAAAGGCAACATTGCCCCTTTACAACTCTCCAAAGGCAAAATTGCCTCTTTACAACAACATTTACTTGAAATTCGTATAAGATACGACGGAATGATGCCATGGGCTTTGCGACTCCCACCCCCGAAATTTAAGAGAGGGCTTTGTTTCTGTTAACCACCCCCTTTAACACTATGTTCATGTCTTGGCATTGGGCTAGACTAAAAACAAAAAATATGTTGAGCTCTTCACAATTTTAAATACACAATCTAAAATATTTTAAAGTAAAATATATATATTTTTAAGTAAAATATAAATTTTTATTTTTATTTTTTGATTTTTGGTAAAGGTTTAAGTCGAGGTTGAGATCGAATCTATCGGATGGAGCGTATAAAATAGCTTGTCAAAAATTCATGAATAAATTATTTTTATTAAGGCTCTATTTATTTAAGCGTAAAATCTTTTTTAGAAAATATTTTTTGTGTTTTCTGGTATTTAGTTATAAATATTTACGAAAAAAATATTAAAATCTAACAAAAATATTTTATTCATCAATTTTCGGCAAGCTAGTTTACACGCTTCACTCGATAGATTCGACCTCAATCTCAACCTAAACCTTTTCCAAATAATAAAAATAAAAGAAAATATTTTACCTGCAAATTTAAGTCGAAACAAAAGGAGTCTAAATTTTAATATTTTTTTCCTCATAAATATTTTACAATAACCAAACACTAGAAAAAACACAAAAAAAAATATATATATATATATATTTCAGCCTAAATTTGTTATTCAAATGGGGATAAAACACATTCTATAACCGATAAGATGATCCCAATTCTGCTTTTTAAGTTGCCCTGAAAAGTTGACACGAAACTTAAATACTACAAGGGTTGCTGCCTACCATTGCACGATTCTATTTATTTATTTTTTTTTTTTTATTTAACTTTTTTTTTACAAGAAATTTACATACTCATTTATTCCTAAAAAAAACTCCTAGCAGACTGTAACCTTTGGTGGTATTGCATCTACTTTTTAAGTTGCCCTGAAAAGTTGACACGGAACTTAAATACTACAACGGTTGCTGCCTACCATTACACGATTCTATTTATTTTATTTTATTTTATTTATTTTTTATTTAATTTTTTTTTTACAAGAAATTTACACACTCATTTATTCCCAAAAAAACACCTAGCAGACTGTAACTTTTGGTGGTATTGCATCTACATGATTTCGAAAAGCATTTTTCTTTCTATCTTTTTCCTGGTCAAATGAGTTTAATTGCAGTGAGTCTGTGAGTGATAGAATTAGGTGAAACGATATATTTTAACTATTTGATGGATTCGCAAGGACATAGAATAAGAGACTTTAGAAGTTACAAATAAACTGCTTAGATATATTCTTTAGGTTTCCAATCTCTTTCCTTGGTTTCTCTATAATTTAATTTTGACTGATTAGATTAAAATATTTCAATCTAACTGTCTCTCTACCCTGCAAACCTTTTTCGTTTTTGTGCCTTGAAATGAGCAAAAAACAGAGATTATTAAAAGGAATTTAACTCTATGTACAACTCCAAATATGTAAGGAACCAGAAAAAACGAACAAGGACCAAATACTAGTTGGGTAGTTTAAAATAATAGTCTACCCTCATTAGCTTAGTCAACTTCAGTTCCTTGGTCCAAAACATTATTGTTGACTTAGAAAATGAAATATTTCTTCATATATGACTTCTCAATATTTTATTTTCCAAAATGATGGGCTCGAATATGGAGCCATGCCATAAATTTTGGACACATTTAGCCGTAGTGATATGTTTAAAACCTTGTTAGCAAATATGTGCCAGTGAGATACTATAAAATAGAAACTATAAAATTTACACACACACACACACACAAAACAAAAAACAAGTACGTAGTTGACTAATAGAATAAATTTAAATACAAATCCAAAGAAGTAAAGAATAGAAATGAAGAAAAAATATATATATGTGGCAAAGGAGGACTATAGTATCAGCATATTCTGTCCTCCTTAAAAATTGAGTACATATTTTCCAAAAATTAAAGTCCAAACACACACACATAAACTTGTATCATTTGCATTTCAGATTCTGGAGCTGCTTGGTTGCGATATTAATCTCCATGGTGCAATTCATATTGGTAGCTTTCTTCTTCTTCATCACCTTCATTAGCTCCACCTTTCCTGTCAATCTTGATGTGCTGCTCAGCGGCAAAATCCCAGAACTGAAATCATTTCCTAATGCTGAATTGGTCGATGACAGGCCTACAGTAACATTAAGCTTCTTTGTTGATCGAGCTTTAGCTCTTGCCTTAGAAACAAAAGCACTCCCTACTTGTTCACCTCTATAGAAGAAAGCAATGGTACTATTGTCGTATTTGTAGTGACCGAAGTTTGTGTTCTTGACACCGAGTTCAGCATTCATTCTCATGTCAAATGAAGATGTCGTGACACTAAAAGTCTCGAACGTGGCAGAACGCACGCGGAACTTAGGAGTTTTGACCTTCATGACAGTGAGCGCAAAGATCAATATAACACCGGTTTGAAACACAGCGAACGCAACAACATATGCAAAACATTTCATGCGTTGCTTGCGGCGAACCTCTTTGGCCAGAGCTGAGGCCCCCTCTTCGTCACTTCGTCCATAACCATTGGCTGGTGCCAAGGGATAGGCCTGTTTCTGCTCCTTTTCTGCCATTTAGTTGTTTGATTGTTGACAAGGTTAGAGAGAGGGTTTAGTTTTTTGCACTTGAAGGTGTTTGAAGAAAATGATGGTTGGAGTGGAGGGATTGTGTTGAGAGCTATATATGAGAACATGCGTGTAGCACATTTAGGATGACTATTACAACACCTTTCGTGCAGGGTTCCTAATTCATAAACAGTAAGGTTAGACTTTCTCCATCAATGGATGGTTATCAAACGCGTTTGAAGAATTGATTTGGCACGTCATATTGTCAATTAAATTATTTTTATTTGGACCGCATTAGACGCTTCTAAAGGATATCATATTGCTTTAATAGCAACTTGAATTCATTGAGGTTATATAATAGACGAAACTCAGTACACGGCTGATGTAGACCGTGTTTTACATCGGCGACCTTGCGGTCAGTGGGAGCCAGAAATTAGAACTTGTGGGCCAAACTGTAATATAAAATTATAAAATAAAAATTAAATAATTGTACATGTTTATAAAATGATACAAGAGTGTACTAATAAGTTTTAGTATGGGTTACAACAGTAATTTCACTTGCAAACTATCTTTACTAACGATAACTATACAACCATAAATAAGATTCTAAACTCTATGCAAAATTCCATAACATAAATAAGGATTTTAGAATTATTTCGGGGATATCCCCCTCTCGCCCAACCTTCCCCAGGCATTGCTTTCCGTCACAATAGAACAATTTTAATATTGCGCCAAGGTTCGCCCTCATTGACATTAAAAAATATAACAAATGCCTTGAAACCAAGAACACGGTAAGAAACTAATGTAAAATAAAAAAAATTGTATAGCTTATATCGGTGGTAAAAATTTGTAAATGATTTCACCATGTAAAGAGAAAGAAGATTACAAATTTCAAACCACCAAACCTCTGTCCATCTCACCATCTAAAGAGGGTATTCACGGTTCTCTCATCTCATACCCGAAACCCTAGCACCCTTACATATATACAAGGTTATAAGAGAGTTTACAACCCAGAGAGATTCAAACCGTAATGAAATTTGGACCACAACTTCAAAATAATAAAAAATCTGAAATATTATTTACTTGTTGGACTTTAGAGCTTAGCAAATCCAACGTCTGGGGTTCGAGTCCCGCTGGGTATTCTTTATGACTCCGCTACCCCTGCAGTGACTCACCTGCCCCGGGTGGGAGGCCGTCCTTCTGAGTCCTTGGGGATTAGACGGGTTAACTGTTGAGGGGCCCTAAGGGTTTGTGCCATCCCGGATACCGCGGGTTAATAAAAAAAAAAATGTTAGATAAATGGTCATTCTTGAGTCAAGAATTAAATGAGGATATGCACACACACACACACACACACACACACACATATATATATATATATATATTTATTTATTTATTTATTTTAGAGGCAAGATTTATAGAAGCAACTTGGAGATCACCACTTACATCAAAACCCACATTATCTTGAACGTGAGTTATGCAACGGAATGAATGTGGATAGTTAAGTTTTAAAAGACTATTTTTAGAGAGGGATTTATCATGTGTTTCGATCTTAATCTAATTTACTCTATTAAAATTATCGATTATTTAAATAATCAAACACAAATTAAAAGCAAGTAGAGTTTGAGTGACACCGGATTTTAACAAGTAAACCGATTGGAAAAACTTAAGATTTTTTGTGCTATCCAAAGCATAAGACGATCCACTATGTATGAAGTAAAGTACACCGAACTTTGATTCACACTCAAACCCCTTCACTCTACCAAGACTCAATCCGTTGAACGTCTCTGACTTTGTGACTTCCAGTCTAACAACTCTCGACTTCAGATTTATGCCTCGAACCTTGTAGAAGGATTGTTGATAGATCAACACTCCGCAAGTGCCTTGATCCCTTCAAAGTTTGATTGGATAATCTTCTTCTTCGAATCTAAATTTGTTATAGAAGAAATAAATCTAATTTCTCTGATCGTTGTAGATGCAATCTTCACTAGACTTCAACACGATTAGGATTTGAACAACACCAGTGTGTATGTTCTTAAAAAATCGCAAAAAAAGGCTTTTAATAAAAATCAGAAATTGAATGCGAAAAGCCACACTACCCTAAGTGAGAAAATATGTTTATATAGACTTTTGAAACCATAATTATACTTGGAAAATAAGTCAATTTCGTACATAAGGTTTTAGAAGAAAGTTTATACAGAATAAGAAGTTGAAACAAAGTGTTAAAAAAAAAAAAAAAAACTGCTATAGAACTTGAACCTATTCAGCTGCCCTTGAACTGGTTCAAGTTGGCCAGTGTGTTATTTTAAAAATGAAGTATTAACACTTGAACCGGTTCAGCTGCCCTTGAACTAGTTCAAGTTGGCCAGACCTGAACTAAAGGCATTTACACTTGAAATTTTTTTGGCTACGTTTATTTTTGAAACCATACAATCCATGCAAGTATCCTTACCTTCTGACTAAACTTCCTAAAGTGTTGTTCTTATATTTTTCGAAGTTGTTGACCTTAATGATTTCATCCAAGCACAATCTAGAGGTTTTGATGATAACAAACCATTAATGGTATTTAAGGACTAATGTTTACATTGAGTGTTATAGATTATTCACATTTAAAGGATGACCTCAATGAAGACCATAAAGTCATTCCAAGTATTCCATTATTCAAGATCACATCAAGGAAAGCAATGGATACAAAGAAGACATGAAGTTGCAAAGAACCAAATGCAAAGTCCATCCAAAGATAGCTTGGACTACAACGAGCAAGAAAGTAACTCAAAGAAAGGAAGAAAGCAAGTCTACCCAAAAGCCTACACGATCATGGACAAAGCGTGAAGAAAAGGGTAGATAGGATGGTGAGTGTTTATGATTCAATGTCAAAGTATTTATAAATCCATTTGAAGCTCATCTCTATAGGACCATGCATATCATATCATCATTTATATGCTCCTATATCCATTAGCAATAGACTATGCACTTCATTCTTATATAATTGTACATGAAATCATTGCTAAAGAGTGAGTTAGTTCAAGCTTGCATAAGCTTTGAAAGAACTCATCATTTGTGCTAGAAATGCTAAGACCATACACATCAATCATTAAATTTATATTGGTCAACAATTAAGGCATGAGAAACCTTTATTACCATGAGTTGGTAACGGACATTAGGACCCCAGAATGTGTGTCATGAAAAATTGTATTTTTGGCTAAGTGTGAAAAATGGATTTTTGAAATAATGATTATTTCAGAATAATTTTTTCCGGTAATAACTCTTTATACTTAAACTAGCTTAAACTGATTTTATCAGAATTTTTGACCAAGTCTACATTGGTCTACATAAAGATTCAATTTTACCAAAACAGTCGGAAATCCAAATTTGTACTAAAACTGAATTTCTACATTTTAATTTAATTGGATTTCAATTTTCTAGTATTTTTTTTTTAATCCAAATGGGGGGTACTTCCTTATTTACATTGTAAACTTAAAGTAAATGGAAATTTACTTAAATGTTTTCAATGAAAATAAGGTCTGTGCAGATGTCCTATAGAGCACTGTCTAATCTGTTAACTTAAAACAACTCATGAAGCAGCAGTTTCATTTCAGCAGACCGAAATGCATAGGCAAGTTATTTCGGCCTACCGAAATAAGGCACTCAGCACATCTCATTTCATTTCGGTCGACCAAAATATTCGGTCTACTGAAACAAAGATACTGAGAGAATGATATCCAACCTTAAGTCATTTTGGACGACCGAAACACAAGGGTGTTTCATTTCAGTCGACCGAACCTTGCCCAGATCTGAATCTGAACGGCTATTTCCTCTCGGGCAGTGTGCACAACAGCTCTATTTTTGAATTAGATGCTGAAATTCTATAAATAGAGCAAGAGGACTTCGGGATTAAGTGTTGCTACAATTGAGAAACATAATGTAACATGGAAAGAGCTTTTGTTCTTCATTATATATCATACTCTCTCATCTCATATCATTAGAAGAGTTTTGAGCTTCATTGTATTCATATACATACTCTAGTGTGAGCTAAACATTGTATATCAAATCTGTGAGAGATTATTGTGAGCTTTGATTTGCATATCAATCTTTGAGAGATATATTTATATGCAACAAATCTGATCTTCAATTTGTAAGGGCTGGTGTGGCCCAAGGAAGAAAAAGCAAGCTAGCTTCATATTTGTAAGGGTTGGTGTGACCCAAAAGAAGACTAAGAGAGGTTGTCTCTTAGCAAGGTGTTGCTTCATGTAAAGGTTTGCTCTCCACCCATAAGGAGGTGTCATAGTGGATTGGGAAGTCTCAAGAGGGGTCTTGAGCCAAAGAGTAGGAGTTTCCGAACCTCGCTAAAATCACCGTGTGAATGTTTGCAATCTTTCTTCCCTTATCTCTTTTACATTTATGCTATTAATTGTTCATGTTTATATCTTAATAATTGCATAATTGTTAGAAGGGTTTAATAGAATTTTCAAATTCGAAAAATTGGCCATTATTTGCCAAAGACTCTATACACCCTCCCTCTAGAGTCTATACTTGGGCAACAGAAGTCATTAAGCTATTGATCACGAACAACTCTTTAATTCCACTTCTGATCTTGGACTTGAAATCTGAACTTAAAATTACAACTCGATCGGACTTGTTTTGACAACAAAATTCGTCAATTACAAATTTTATATCCCACATTAAATACATAGAAGGATACCATGCACGAAAACTCTCATTAATCTATCTCTTGATGCCTACATAGCCAAATGGTAAGTGTTACAAGTGGGACTTGTCCCACATCAGATTTGGATGGGGGTTGAAGTATGTATAAATGGGTGGGTATGCAGTATTACTCAACAGCTTGATCTTTTGGTAAATGGGTAAGCGCCCACCCATTACAATTGGTATCAGAGTCAGACCTAGCCCTTAATCCGATGTTACGCCAAACGCCCAACCCAGAGGGCGTCCAGGTTTGGCCGGGTAGACAGGGTGGCCGGATCGCAATGAGGATGTTGCAAGGGTTCGGGTGGGGGAAAATGTTAAAAGTGGGACTTGTCCAACATCGAATTTGAATGGGGATTGAAGT